TTATTTCTTCCAGGTATGTTCCATTCCATCCCCGCATTCAGGCCGAAGACCAATATAGTGTGCAGCAGGACCCCCTGGATGTCTACCTCCCTCTCCTCGCAGACCCCTCCCCACAGACCAGCACCGCCATCGCTCAGCTCCTGGGTTCCGCCCTGCGTGCGCCCGGCCACCGCGCTGCGGTCGCTGCATGGATGCCGCCGTCCGAGCGCAACAAGACACCGCGTCGAGGGTGGGAGAAGGGTGACGTGGGACAGGGTGGATGGGTCGCGCGGCAGCTAACGGGGCTCGCGAGGAGTAAGGACGTGAAGGTCCAGGAGGCGGCGTTGTGGGCGCTGGCCGCGCTCGCGAAGGATAATCATGATGTTGCTGTGGTGCTCAGTAAGCCTAGTGTCGACAGTCGCACTGGCACCGGTCAGTATCCCGGCTTATCTTCGCCGCTCCTGCTTGCCTCACGCGTGAGGTCTTACTTACAGAATCTCCTTCTGCACTCTCCCTCGCCCTCACGCTCTGCAAATCGCGCACTACGCCTGTACAGCTAGCTGGCGCACTATGGTGTGTTACTTCTGTCCACATGTCCCGACACGCGCTCACTTAACTGCTCTAGCGCAACTTATATCCTCCGCGCTCAAACTGCGATACCACACGGGCTTCATGCGCACCTGCATCACCCTCACGCTGGGCTCAACCACACAGGTCCAAGTCCAGGGCTGGACATGGCCTCAGCACTGACTGTCGTACATGTCATGAACCGACTCATTGCCAGCAGCGTCGAGACGCCCCAGGCTCGCGCACAAGCATGTTTTGTGCTCCGTATGTTCTCCCCGCCTTCTTTCCCAAGACCAACGAGCTCATTTTGACTCTCCAGAGCATCTGGTGATGGACGAGAAGGAGCTCTGCCAGACCGCATTCGAAAGCGGCAGCCTCACCAAACTCTCCGACCTCGTCAAATCCATAACATCCGTGCCCGCAGCAACATCCGCAAGCAGCCCCGACCCAAAATCGCCCCTGCCCGTCTGGGACGAGGACGAAGCGCTCAGCACCTGCCGCCTGCGCGAGGTCAGCTCCCCGCCCCCGCCCGCCCCACATGCCCGCTCACCCTCCCGCTCCCGTAGGCAGCCCTGACCGCAATCGCCGTCCTCGCGAGCGCAAACGACGACATCCGGCGCGACCTCACGGACGCGCAGCGGCTCATCCCGCCCGTGCGCGCGCTGCTCGCGCACCCGCACCCGGGCACGCGGTACGCCGCGGCGCAGTGCGTGCGCGCGCTGAGCCGCTCCGTCGCCGTCGCGCGCACGAGCCTCGTCGACTCGGGGCTCGGCGCGGCGCTGTTTGGCGTGTTTCTGAAGGAGGGGGAGGACCGGCGTGTGACGTATGCGGCGCTCGCGGCCGTGTGCAATTTGATCAATGAGTATTCGCCGTTGAGGCAGGTGAGTGGGGTTTTGCTTTTGTGCATGGGAGGATGGGGGCTGATGATGATGTGTGTGAAAAGCCGTTTTTGGAGCAGGGGTTGATGAAGAGGCTCGTGGTGCTGTTGAAGTCGGAGTATGATGAGCTGAGGCTCAATGCGCTCTGGGCGGTGAAGAACCTTGTGTATCGGTGTGCGTCGGAGACGAAGCGTGCGGTGATTAAGGAGGTTGGGTGGAAGGAGCTCGGTCGGTATGTACCGCTTCACTCAGCTGTCTTTCGAATGTCGACCGCTGACTTGTTCTTGAAGGTTGATGGAGGATCCGGATCCGGGCGTGCAGGAGCAGGCGATCTTCATCGTGCGCAATTTTGCAGATAGCGAGGACGACGTGGAGCTCGTGTTTCGCGAGCTTGGCACCGGCCTCCTCGATATGCTCGAGCGAGCGCTCGAGTCGAAAAATGGTGATGTCGTCCTGCAGGTGCGCTTTTCCCGATAAACATTTAGCCATCCACTCACACCTGGTCGTTCAGGCGGCCTACGCGCTCTCGAATCTCGCGAATGGCAACTCAACACACCAAGCGCAAATTCTCGCGCACCCCCAAATTCTCACCGCGCTGCGGTCCTGCCTCGTCGACGCGCCGATGGACGTCCGGCACGCAGCCGTCTCATGCGTGCTCGAGCTCGCGATGACGAGCGACTGGAAGCACCAGGAACTGCGCGATGCGGGGCTCGATTCGACGCTGCGGCATATATGCGAGTATGCGGGTCCGGCGAGCCCCGGTGCGGCGGCGGGGGTGGGCCCCGGGACGATGGGCGTTGAGCGGGATGTGAAGGATAAGGCGAGGAAGGCGCTCGACTGGATCGAGCATGGCGGGGATATGATGACTACTGGGTAGCAGTGTGGATTCGACTTTTGTGGGTTTTGGATGCTATCTATTTTGCTGTGGTCTTTGTGCTGTATTGCTGGAATCGGACGTTCAGCGGGTCTCTCTCTCGACGGGCCCAACCTGTTTGAACCGAGAATGTTGAATGCAAGCAATCAACGACGGTTCTTCGCAAGCTGTCAAAGTGTTCATTTGTTCGGTCCAATCATACTGATGGTGCTGGACCGCATGTCCGCAATTCGAGTCAAAAATTCTTCGACCCTAAAAACAGACACACCACAGATTATCGCGCATGCTAGGAACCATTTACCCTCCATGCGGACTGTAGCAATGCAGACATTTTACGCGCCGCAAATTCGTACTAGTGCTTACTACGAAGTAGCCCGGGCCGGACGCGCCGCCGTCGACGAACCGCGTATTTCTCCAAAACAACGACGAAAAAAAAAATCGAATACACCCGGGTCATAGACATAGAGATTACCACGAAGACCGGGACGCCCAGGCTCAGGTAATAGTTCGGCGCTGGGATGCACGGAGGAATTGTCAGGATGCGCGGTGGGCTCATATTTGGCGACGAGACGCGTGACGGAGACTGAATTTGTCCGCGCCCCCACCAAGCCTCCGAGCCGATCAGCGCTGCCAGCTCCCCAACTTTCCCTCTTCCTCCTCCTTCTTCCTCTCCTCCTCCCACCACCCTCATGGCCACCCTCGCACGTCTCCGGCCCCGGCTTGCACGAAACCTAGCTGTAAGCACACCCGTCTGTTACCCATCGCGTCGAAGCGCGCGCTGACGTAGCGTATTTGCAAACCCGCAGCCCGCGATCCGCGCGGCGTCGCTGCAGACGTCAGCGGACAGCACGACGCCGCTCGAGTCGACGCCCGACGAGGGCCACAAGCCGTTCACGGTCAAGCTGCACGAGGAGTCGTTCCATGCGTACCGGACGGAGCCGCCCACGCTCGAGGTCGAGGTCACGAAGGACTCGCTGCTGCAGATGTACCGCGAGATGAACACCATGCGGCGTATGGAGCAGGCCGCCGACGCGCTCTACAAGGCGAAGCTCATCCGCGGCTTCTGCCATCTCGCCATCGGTCAGGTGCGGCGCGCTCCCTTTTTGCACGCCTCCGACCCCGTCGGGGGCGGCGCGTGCGACGTGGCGCTGACGCATGAGCTCTATCTGCTATACAGGAAGCCGTCGCGGTCGGCCTTGAGCACTCGATCACGAAAGAGGACCTCGTCATCACTGCGTACCGCTGCCACCCCTTCGCCGTCCTGCGCGGCGGCAGCATCAAGGGTGTCATTGGTGAGCTGCTCGGCCGCCAGGTCGGCATGTCGCACGGCAAGGGCGGCTCCATGCACATCTTCACGCCCCGCTTCTTCGGTGGAAACGGTATCGTCGGCGCGCAGGTCCCCGTCGGCGCTGGTCTTGCGTTTGCGCAGAAGTACCTCGAGAAGCCGACCGCGACGTTTGCGATGTACGGCGATGGTGCTAGCAACCAGGGCCAGGTGTTCGAGGCGTTCAACATGGTGCGTGTTACTCCCCATCGTTTGGACTGTGATACTGATACACGCTGTTCAGGCGAAACTCTGGAACCTCCCCTGCGTTTTCGTGTGCGAGAACAACAAATACGGCATGGGTACCTCTGCGGAGCGCAGCTCTTCTAACACGGAGTACTACACCCGTGGTGACAAAATTCCTGGTATTCAGGTGCGTATCTCATTATCTATTGCTTTTACGTGTCTTACACTCATATGCTCGCGCAGGCAAACGGCATGGACATCATTGCGACCGCGCAGGCTGTCAAGTACGCGCGCGACTGGGTGATCTCCGGCAAGGGCCCGCTCCTGCTCGAGTTCGTTACCTACCGCTACGGTGGTCACTCGTGCGTGTTACGTTAGTTAGGTGCGATGCATATATTGACGTCGAGCACACAGCATGTCCGACCCCGGCACCACCTACCGCACCCGTGAGGAGATCCAGCGCATGCGTAGCACGCAGGACCCCATCCGCGGCCTGCAGCGCTACATCGAGGAGTGGGGCGTCGCGACTGAGGAGGAGCTGAAGGTGCGCTGCTTGATTTCTCCACGGCCCTGCCTAACGCTAACATCGACCCACAGAAAATCGACAAGGAGGCCAAGGCGACCGTCGACAAGGCCGTCGAGGAGGCCAAGGCCTCGCCAGAGCCGCTCATCGAGGACCTCTGGACCGACATCTACTACAAGGGCACCGAGCCGCCGCACATGCGCGGCCGTGAGCGCGAGGAGGTGCGTTCCTCTTCCATTTTCTCCCACGATCTAATACTCGGCACTGACGCTGGCGCGCCGCTGCAGGTCCACCACTACTAGATGTGCCACCGCGTTGGATTGTTGCTCTGCTATAGACGTTTGTTTGCATTAGTTACCCCCCACCCACCCCTCCCCTCCCGACCCCGCTTAGGCCTAGGCATAGAGTTGCAGCGCTGTTATTTATCGTAGGTAATTGATGATTGGACGTGCCGAGGCGTGTCTCTGGATGGACGTGCGTGTGTGCGTGCGTGTGTGTGCGAGTGTAGTGTGGTGTGTGTGTGGTGTGGTGTTTGGTCCCGTCTATTCTGAGCGAATTTATGGGTCGTGTCTTCGTTCTTGTTGGGAATATGCACTGGACTGGATTCTCGAAGCGCGTGGAGCCAAACGCGAGCGGATCAAAAAGATATCAGGCTCCTAGAGGACCAAGTACCACCGATGGGGCTCGAACCCACAACCCCTGCCTTAGGAAGGCAATGCGCTACCAATTACGCCACGATGGCTTGATGAACTATATGATATATGCGTCGAAAAGGTGGGGGGCAGGGGAGACAACTTTTGAGTTAAAAAGCAAGTGGGGACTATGTAGTAGGAAGGGTGGTCAAGTACTCGATTGCTCTGGGCCAGGCTGGGAAAAGAAACACGTAAGAATTGGGATTGCAGCTAGTGTCGGTTCGATGGCGTAGTTGGTTATCGCATCTGTCTAACACACAGAAGGTCCCCGGTTCGAGCCCGGGTCGAATCATCATGTAGTCAACGGAACCTTTTTCCCTCTTTGTGCGCACGAGTACTCATTACCCTACAGCTCGTCAATATCAGTGCTTGCCTCGAAAATGCGATGTCCTCATTGGATGGTCTCGCGGACTGTGAACAGTTCAAGATCGGACATAATATTGTATGGGGTGAGCTACGATTGGTATATCCTGCTCTTTTGGTCAAAATGGCAAGGTGTCTCCACCGAAATGCAAGTACATGGGGGAAGAAAGCGAAAGGAAGACCTGCGAAGACACGGACTAGAAGATACAGTACATTAAAGTACGTCGTACAAATAAATATAATAATGCGGGGAGACTCCATTCTCGGGTGCTCGTACAACATAACAAAACATCTCGTCGTACCGTCGCGGGGTGGGGTCGTCGTAATACATTGACAGTGGCATGTGGGAGGGGTATCGCCCTCGTCTTCGCGCTCAGAGCGTGGCCTGGGGCTTCTCCGGCGCGGGCCGTTTTCGATAGAACTAGATCCGCAGGAACAAGCTCAGTGACATCCTTCGATACACACCCGGCAGCACGACATACCGTCCACGAGAACCTCCTATGATGCGCCGCCTCCTGCTCCTTCCCGAGCTCGGGCGTCTTCGGCACCTTCTTCTTCTTCTCGGGCTCATACACGACATGCCCGTTCCTAACGACAAGCTTCTCCTCGGGGTCCGGCATCGACGAGCCTTCGTCGCGCGTCGGCGGGCGGTAGATGGACCCGACGAGCGGGATGACGCCCGTGGGGCTGACCGCGCGGTACTCGTCGGTGTACCCGCCGTGGCGGTTGTCCGTCGTCATCGACGGGTACGACAGGTCCGCGTACGAGACGGTCACCGCGCGCGCGAGCGGCGCGATGGGCGCGATGCCCGGCAGCTCGCCGATCGTCGACGCGTCGTCGTCGTCCTCGCCGCTGTGCGTGTGGTGGTGCACGGGCGCGGGCGACGGCGCGGGTGCGGGCGCTGCCGCCGCCCGGCGCGCTACGGCGGGCGGGTGCAGGTGCCAGCGGCCTGCGCGGACGCTGTGGTCGTTGTCGTAGCCTGCAGAGAAGGTGCGGCTGAGGAGGTTGCGCGCTGAAATCGTCCGCTTTGACTCTGGCCTCGCTGCTTCAGATGGTGCAGCGGTGGTGGTGGCGGTAGTGGTGGTGTTGGTGGTAGAGGTGTTCGGGGATACCATGGTGGTCGAACTGATGGGGCGGGTCGAGGCTGCAGGAACTTATATAGGGGTTAGGCAAGGTACGGGCGGGACAGGAGGTCGAGTCCGGGGACATTCTCGCCTTGAATACTCACTAGTCCGCGGCCACCGTGCGGCGTAGGCGTCATAGTTCAGCGGATGCTGGGCGAGCTGCGCCGAGACCAGCCACCCTCCGCCTCGGCCCGATCTTATCTTATCGGCTCCTCCTTCTCCCTGTTCCTGCCGCCGCCGCCGGCCCAACGCTCATCTCCCCGTGGGGTGCCCGTTCTCTCCTCCGGCAAGTTCAAAAATACCAACGCTTCCGTTGAGTCTATCTTTGCATCATAAATTGATCGATGCGGTGCAAAGCGGCCCGCACGGCCTGAACACTGCAGTGGCCACATGCTTTGATGCTGTAGCGAGTTAGGTTCCGTCGTCGCGACCCGTGGTTACCGCCGGGAAATGCTGATTTTCTCCACCATGCTTTGCTTGAGGCAGTCGTCAGGGGCGTGTCAATACGACATATCGCTCCAGCGCACTTGGTGGGCAATTATTTTCTGCAGTTAACGTTGTAGCTCCTCCCAAAATTTTCTGTGGTATAATTGATACAGAAACTCAATTGAAGGTGGCATGCCACGTTCTCAACAAGTGGGCCATATCATCTGCTATTTTTGATGTCACATGCTCACTCAAATCTCCACCGAAACGCCCGGAGGAGAGGAACCACTACGCTTGGCACGGTAAGTAAACATACTTGTAGCTGTTCCAACTTCGGGCATCATGATAGGCCCTTTGGACAGGTGGTCGGAAGTGCCGTGCCACTATTTTTGTGTGCGCTCTAATGGACAGACGGTATAAAGCCGTTCGAGGTTTCACCATGCCTCAACAACCCCGCATCCACTCACCTGCTAAATTCTTGTGACCTTTCACGCGTTTTCCCAGCCGATTTTACGCCATGAGTACAGCCGCAGAAGTCTCTCAAGTTTCAGGCTACGGAGCTACCGTGCGTTAGACCTCATCTGACCGATGGTCACTCGTGTCTCACCTCCGACCCTGTAGAGCGGGGAGACAGAATGGTCAAGGTGGGTGAACTCGCTCAATGCTGAGTTGCCGCGGCGGCTTATCCTGAATGGCAGACTCGACGCCATGCACACAGGCATCACGCAGTTCCTCGATGGTAAATTGACACCGGCGCCGCTCGAGAATTCGAACCCGCGGAAGATCCTCGAGCTCGGGTACGTCCCCTCACCGTCTCATTTTCGCCGCCGAACTGACATATTCGCTGTCCCCTCATCCAGTGCTGGGTCTGGCGCATGGTGCGCATTTTCGCCCGCTGTAGATCCTTGCCATTCTGAACACATACATACAACAGGGCAATCCAAGCTGCAAAGCAATTTCCCGGAGCCGAAGTCATCGCATCCGACATCAGCCCCATCCCCCCTCGGTGTGTCCACCCAATTCGCCCCAGTCGCGCCACTCACCTCCGCCCAGTCCCCTTCCGCCAAACCTGCGCTTCGAGCGCGCGGATCTCACGCAGCCCCTCCCCTTCGCGCCGGCCAGCTTCGACATCGTGCACCTCCGCTTCGTCCTCGCCCACGTACGCTCCCGCCTGCCTCCCCCCTTCCACGTCACTGTCACTGATCCACAACCCGCCCACCCATCCACGCAGATCCCGCACGGCAGCAGCCTCCTGCCGCAGATCGCCGCGCTCGTCGCGCCCGGCGGCTGGCTCCTCGTCGACGACTTGAACCTGCCGACCTGGGCCCTCGGAGAGAACGGCGGCGATGGGGGCGCCCCGAACATCCGGCGCTGCATCGAGCGCTACGGGGCGTACATGCTCGCGAACGCGCAGGAGCCCGTGATGGCGGATGTGCTCGTCGAGCGCGTGCGCGCGCTGGGCATCGGGGAGGTCGAGGCGGCGCGGACGGATTTCGTGATCAATTCCGTCGTGGACGGTGCGTTCGAGTTCTTTGTCCTTCCCTGTCTTCCCTCTCCATTCCTTTGCTTTCCTTGCCGTTCCTTTCTTGGTCGAAAGCCGCCAGCAGCTCGACGTCCGGAGCCTGTTGACTGACGTGCGGATGCAGATCCCGCGCACCAGCGCCTGAGCGAGGTCTTCCGCGAGTCGATATGCGGCTACTACGTGAATCCGATGGCGCCTGCCGTCCGCGCGTACGGCGTCACGCCCGAGGTACAGCAGGGGTTCAGGGACGAGATGGGCATGCCGGATTGGAGGATGCGTTTTTCGACGGTGTTGACGTGGACGCGCAAGGCGCCTGAAGCTATCAGCGATGCGTAAATGGGTACTAGTCGGGTGTGAGTGTACTTGAATAGCGCAGAAAGTTTCTTGGTGCGGTATGCTGCTGCTTCAGTTGACATGTGTTACCTTCTGTTATGGAAAGTATTATTATGGGATGCGGACACTTGATAGCGATGCGACAACGCTGCCGTGAAAATTGCATCTGCGCCACAGGCAGGAAGCGAATGCATGCCATGTCCAGCATGTCATTCGCCGGATTATTAGCTTAGGGCATTCTTGCCCCTGGTCCGGGGTCATGGCGTCGTTAATATCTCAGAGGGCTCGAAACCAGCGGCGTGGAGTATCACCATGTCAATCACCCAGCTGCCAGTGCGTATCTCACCTCCAAGTTCTCTGCGGTTTTAGTTCCTCGCTGGTGTCGGCTGCTGCTTAAGCTTCTTAGGACCAAGGGCTCTCCAACGTGGCCGCGTAGCATACCCTTGAATACGTCATTAGTACGGCTGCTCTAACGAGGCAGTGAACGCAATGCGGACTCGCTCGGCGATGGTAGGAGCTCTCTTCTCTTGTTAGCCTCGTTTCTTGAACGAAGAGGCGCACGTTGTGCTCCCCGGGATGCCCGCCGGAAAAGATCGATATGATGTTCGTCAGGTGCCGACCGTCCGAATTGCCGCGCCGAACGTCGGAGAAAGCTATGCCCTGCCGGAGTCGTAGTCGGAGCTTGAATCTCAAAACAATTGCTATGCTCTGCTCCGGCCTCCAGCGGCCTGGCCAACACCAGGTGGCAGGTGGTCCCCTCCGACTCGGAGCATCTTCGTCTTGAGTGCTCTCGCTACTTGAAGTAATCCGCTAAGGATCAATCGCACATTGTGCGTGCCGGCTCAACTAACACGATGCTCATATGACACGCACTTTACTCCGAGTCTCCCTCGGGAAGTTCACGTTAGCAGCAGGTGAGTCTTATCAGTCGCATTCTTCAAAGTGTAGCCCCGCATCATGCAATCGGTAGAAGCAGTGTCACCATCGTGCAGTGCATAGTGCATGGATCTTCTATATTTCTGCCATGATGTCCGGTGACCACCACCGAAGGACGGCAAAGTCCTTAGCGATGTTTCATGCTTCATTGCAGGCGGTCGTCTGTTTCAATACGCAAGTACGATCCGCCATGTGAGTGCTATTGGAATTTTACGCCTTTCCGTGTGGTTTGTGGGACCCGCACTGTTCTCTGCCAGCAGCATGACCATCGTAAGGTATATCCATATTTTATCTCAGTCCTGATCTTACTCATTCATCACATCAGCGCAGGAAGCAGAACCTCTGT